CTTTTGCCACAAAAAATAAAGTTTTATTGTATAGTTCTCTATATTCATTTGCATTAGGTTAGTGCTTTATGAAATGGGGCACCACAACTAAAGAGATTCCAGGCTGAATGTATTGATTGGTTTATAAGTGGGGTTTAACATTAAAAAACACCACATGATTATCAGAGACGGCGTAGTGGAGGGCTCCAGAAATTTCGACCACCTGGGGTTCTTTAATGGGCACCCAAATCTGAGCACATGGGTCTACAGTATTTTCGCCTCTTTCGATGATGCACCTGCCGGGGTCACGATTCAATGCCGCGTTCTGTGTGTCAGCAGCCAAGTACTTTTGCCACTAGACCATCATGGTGGGGCAGGCTGAATATATTGATTTACAGAAAAAAAACTGCGCCTAAATACAGGTGTTCCATGTGATTAGCATGTAGCATAGCGCTAGTGGTGGCCAGCCGGCTAAAGAAAAAGGTGACGAGCGCTGGTGGCTCGTGGCACGAGGCGGCTGGAACGTTGGTACTTCCAGCTGGCTGGACGCTACAGCCACTGCACTACTTCCGTAGGTCACTTCCTCCTGCACGTGTCGTCTGCTCATTTAACCTGCGACGACTGCACGTATACGTCGGAAATGGTCACGCCGCAACTACAATTGGTGACCACGGACACATGGACAAGCAACCTGCGCAGCCCATGTGCTCAGATTTGAGTGCACGTTAAAGAACCCCAGGTGGTCGAAATTTCCGGAGCCCTCCACTATGGCGTCTCTCATAGTCATATGGTGGTTTTGGGACGTTAAACCCCACATATCAATCAAATCAAGCAACCTGCGCAGCGCAATTGCCCCCGAGCTCGGTGGCCATGTTCTAGCCAGCGCAAGCCTGGCAGCCGCTATTCGACCAGCCACTGCCACTATTTCGGACCTCTCGCCTAGACTCTTGACTCGAGGAGCTCGCAGTGGCCTTGGATCGCAACGGCATCTGGATCCAATAGTTCATGTACGAGGTATTGTAATAACATCTTCCACATGACCTCAAACACCACCTCCCATACTTCTTCTGAAGCCCTTGCCCGTACGATGACTTGTGAGATTCCGTGCTCAAGTTTTACGGCATCAAACAGGATACTCCTATCAAAAACGACACAACTGCATCTGGATAATCACCTTCCCGAATGCCTCTCGCCCCGCACCCAGTCCAGATCACTCCCCTGCCAACAACTGACCACACAGATGACGGAGGCCACCGTTCTGCGTCCATCAATTTGTTCACGGAGAGATCCTCACGCCCGCAATGCACGGCCTCTGCCTTTGATGTTCCGGTTCTGACACCATAAATTCTCATCTCTTTCCGTCACAGATTCGACGCCTGCCACTGCCCCATGCACCATCAGATTCACTACAGAAACCTAATCGGCTGTACTGTCTGCCCCAGGTGATTCGACGGCGTCAGCCTGCTCGGCTTACCGGCCTGCAGACTCGACGCCTGCCCCGGCACCTGTGGAGGCCCGCAACACCGCTCAGATTACGGACACTTGGTTCCCTCTCGCGCTGCTCGCCGTGATATTTAACAACACCTTGGGCCCTGGCACTCATTCACCCGAAGACGGCCTTCCCATTCATGGCTTCACCTCTAACACCTCAAGTACCAACCAGGGTTTCCCTGACTTGCCTGCGAGGATTTCCTGTCACAATTCCGAGAAGCCAAGTCCCACGTTCTGTGACCAACCCATAACACCGACACTATCCAGTCTCGTGGACAGCCACATCTCATTACATCTGTCGTCTTGTCATCAAGTCAGGCGAGGCAGAATCACGCCTCTGTACAGCGCACGACTCATGCTCCGCCCGAAACAGACAGCGCATTGTCGACAGACACACTGTTGTTGGAGCTCCATTAGCCGCAACGCACGACGTTTAGTGTTACGCTCACTACGGCGTTGGCACCTCTTCCACCAATAACATTTACAACGCTCCCCTCGGCTTTGCTGGCTGCTGCTAGTGACAGGATGTCATCGGTTTACTTGCCCGCTGCGTGGCTCCTAGTGCTACCCACCGGAACTGTCAGACTCTTCCGTACGCCTTCCACACTGACGACCTTCGTACTTCCCAATGGGCGCATACAGGAACTTCCCCACCTGTACATAGTGTCTATATGTTTTTTCCTACCTCTTTTTTCATTCATATTTTTTATCGCATAACACGCTAGGCGGAGATCCCTTGTAGAATAGCCCTAGTCGTGGCCAGTCGGCTAGAGAAAAATATGACGAGCGCTGGTGGTTCGTGGCGCGAGGCGCCGAGAATGCTTGTACACTTCTGGCTGGCTGGACGCCCCAGCCACTGCTTTTCTTAGGCAGCTCGCTTCTTGTACGTCTAGTCGGTCGTTTCATTAAACCAGCGACAACGGCACGTCTACGACAGGCACCGTCACGTCGCTACAAGCATATCAGAGTGATTTTGAAGCGCTCCTCTTACAACAGATATCCGGCATGTACAATTCAGTTTAAATTAAGTGATCTCATACTTTTCAAAAGACGCGTGTATAATTAATTGCTGATTTAGCATGTTTTACGCCATACACTTTCCTCTATACACAAGAGCCACTGGAGGTTGGAAATTCCCTTACGCACGTACTAACTACGGTCCACAAATTATGTGCTACTAACTGCCACGAACATTAAATCGTTGCCTACAATAAAAATATTTGTACTGTTTCCTACAATAAAAATATTTGTACTGTTTCTTTCATACGAAGTGTGTGTTTTTATGTTGTGTAATGACTGCTGCTGTTGCTAAGTTACCTAATGCAGCAAAAGCCTCTGTCGGGCCTTAAAAGGCTACTCCCCAGGCCCCATAACGAACGCTGGCTTAGACACAGTAGAATAGATGCAAACAACGAGCGTGCGAACGCGTACAAGCGTTACTTTCGCATCCACGGCTGTCGTCTGCTCGACGCGCTGACCGCGGGGACACGAATGCGGGCGAAATGGCAGCACAGTAGCCCCACATCTCGTTGCAATTCACGGGGAAAGAAATGCAAAAAAAAAATACGCGCACATTCTCTTACTGCGTCTCATTATTTATCTCAAGTTGTATGGATGTTTTCAAGGAAGAATTTGCATAAGCTACGCACGGCGCGTTAAATTATTTCGCTATGTCACGTGCCACTGCTGCAAACGTCAGAGCTATAAAGATATTTTAGTTCACTACAGTCAGAGCGCCGTCATCTACGTAAAGGACCAATATCACTACACTGCCGCGTACGTAGGGCAATTCATACGAGCACGTCATGCCCTAATTTTCTGTGCGCGCACCCGCGAAAGAAGGAGGAGGAGAACAACTTTATCCTAAGAAGGAAATGTGAAGTGGTGTAGTGTTAAAGGAGACTACCCTGCGAAGGTCTCCCCTACCAACTTGGCCCAATCCAGGATCTGGTCCTGGACCTCGCGTGCCGAGCTGCACATAGCAGCCTCCCAGTGCTCTTTACTAGTATTATGTATATAACGAAGGGGGAGGAGCGCTCATCTTGAAAGTAGACCTATTTCTGCAGTGCGTAGCATTGAAAATTTTGGCAGACGTGCCCATGAACGCCCCAATGCGCTTGTCAGCTCAAAATTGACAAACCTGGTGAGTGGCCGTTTAACGGCTTTTTTGCTTTCACCCCTCAGCATTACGTTTGTGAGTTTTGAAACGTCTCCTCTAATGTTGAAATAAAATTGCATTATATTAAAATTGACTTGACATTATCAAAAGTAATGAAAATATATCTGAAAGCTCTGAGATATAAAGATTTTTTTTACATGGGAGTGCCACTGGGAAAACTGGCGTCACAAGTGGCGCTTGTGCAATCGCCAAGTTTCTTCTCCTCTTGGCAATTTTCGCGTTTTCTTCACTTTGTCAATAGGTAGGGTAGCTAGTTGATAGGAGCGCCCGTATTTCGAAAATCTTGTTTGGTGCCAAGTGGTTCCCGGTGACACATGTTCTTTCGGTGCGCTCACGAAAGAGTCAATTCTCATGTTAACACAAGTGAAGCCCTTAGTTGCGGAAGAGCGTTCCTAATAATGTCCGTGTGGCCGAGCCTCGGCCAGCAACCTTGCAGGTTCTTCAAATAGGTTTTTAAATACAAAGCATTTCTTCGCGAACTTCAGTGGGTTTGACCATATCTATCTATCTATCTATCTATCTATCTATCTATCTATCTCACTATCTGTCTGTCTGTCTGTCTGTCTGTCTGTCTGTCTGTCTGTCTGTCTGTCTGTCTGTCTGTCTGCGCGCGTACGACTTTTAGCTCTCCTGGCCGTTTGCGTAATGAATTCTGCATCAAAAATTGGTGACGCATAATATGACTGCATGACGAGCGTAAGTGATTAGACACAACGTAAACATCACCACATGTATGTCCTGACTGCCATGATTTACATGTCATGGTCTTGCTGCTCCTGTGGTGGTTTCGTTCACATGGCATAATGCTAAGGTACGGTATGACAGGACTGTATGGCGAACATAAGTGACAAGCCTCACGTGGAAATCATGGCATGCGTGTCATGCAAGAGCATGACTATATGCCATGCTCATGATGCGTTCGCGGTCGTTTCTCTAGCTTCGCATACACCAAATTTCGATTTACGTGACGTGAATGAATGACGATGGTATATGACTTGTGCGAACATGATAATCACTATATGCGTATCATGTAAGAACATGACTACATGCCATGCTCTTGATGCGCACGCGGTCGTTTCGCTAGATTCGCGTATGTCTAATTCGGTATTACTTGACGTGAATGAATGAAGAGCAAACATTCTAGGCACAAACATGATACTCGTAACTTGGAAGTCATGTGCGGCATAATTTACATCCACCTCGTAACGTTGTACTGATTTAAATGTGACAATTCAACCTTCCTCATTCGTGCTGCGCATATCATCGACTGCCACTTTACGTAGGATCTACCAATGTTCTTGTCATTTCAACCTTTACTACTTTCTTTTGTTTTCGTTTTCTTTTTTTTCAGCCCTGGCCCGATCGAAACCAAAATGGTGTTCAGAAAGAAAATGAGCCCCGAGATAAAGACAATGGTAAGGCTGGTAAAACCTACCACTCAAGATCCGGTATTATATTTTGATTGATTGATTGATATCTGGGGTTTAACGTCCCAAAACCACCATATGATTATGAGAGACGCCGTAGTGGAGGGCTCCGGAAATTTAGACCACCTGGGGTTCTTTAACGTGCGGTATTATATTTTGATTACGTCGTTAATCACTAAAATTCCGGCTTCAGAGTGCCTCTGTCTCAGCGCTTTTTTTTCACTTATCAGGATAGTTTCACCTTTGAGGGATAAACTGTGGATGCCTTCATCGAAAAGTAGCACCCGTTGAAATTCACAAAATTTCCTAATTCATGACTTTGCTTCCGCAATCAGCAATCATTCTGAAATCAACGCTATGTTTCTGAATTTCATCAAGGCATTTCATGAACTGTCACATCCAAAACTACTACTTCTTCGCCCATCTTGAAGAATAGTATAATTTGTAACTAAATTTAGGCTTACTGAACTTCTAGAAAGCGGTGTGCTTCGTTGACTCAAGCTACTTGAACCATGCTTCCGGTTTCTTCAGGAGTACTTCAGAGGTGCGTGTTAGGACCATTCATAACTTTACTCTACATCAAAAATATTGCTCACAATTTAAGTGTAAAGATTAGGTTGTACGCAAATATAAACTGGCGTGGCTCAGTAGTAGATTACTGGGCTGGCACGCAGGGGACCCGGTTACGAGCCTAACTGTGTCCTTGTTGTTTTTCATTTACCTATTTTTTTTTCTCGCACGCGATATTGATTAAGCGCACCGGTGGTGATGGCCAACCACGGCACCAAAGAGAGAGAGAGAACATTTTATTAAGTACGTATAATCAAAGCATGTGGGAGGGAACTCTAGTCTATGTTACCTATGATGACCTCGGCGACAAACCAGACTCATTAAACCAATTGGCCTGGCGGATCACGGGAGGCCGGTCGCAGAGTGCATCGTCCCACAGCTCTTTGGTACGGATGGGGCGCAGCATAAAGGGAAGGCGAGGAAATAATTTTGTGGCGCGCTCTAACGTGACATCAAATACCGCTGGAGAGCTGCCACAAACCGGGCAAGAGTCTGCATAGCACTCAGGGTGAAATTTATGCATGAAGATGACAATGGGGTTGCGCTCTCAGGGGAGAAGTTAGAGCGCCAAACGCGTTGATCATCTCATTGATTGAATGGCGAGAGCGCGATGCTCACTACCACAAAGAGGTGACGTGACTCCGCTAGCCATCTGCTTTATTCAATGTCGCACCTTTACTAATCCACTTCTGTGAGATGTGCAGCACAGGGCGTAGTTCGGGGGGTAATTATGGTGCTCCGAGGAATAAAAACCACGAGATAAACACTGTCGCGCAGCTCAAGTCAACGCTGGCCGCAATGTATCACAGGTCAACGATAGTTCGTGCCCACCAGAGGTTCGCTGAAGCATACAAGACATACACAAACAGGTCTCTCGCAGTTGCTACGCGTAATATAACAATTTAAAGTAAAATGAATGCGATAAATTCAAAGTTCACTTAGCTGAAGCGCTGCGGTCTGCACTTTTCAAACATGTTCAATGTGTTGTTAAGCTCATCTGGAAATAAGGACTTGCTTTGCCGGCCCAATTCGTTTGTACAAAATTGTCAAAACCAACTCTGATACAAGATAAGTGAAGTTCAACGTCCTGAAACCCCTATATATTTATGAGAGATGCCTAGTGGAGGGCTCCGGAAGCTTCGACCACGTGGGGCTGTTTACCGTGCACCGAAGTCGGAACAAACGGGGCTACAGCATTTTCGCTCCCATCGAAAATGCAGCCGCCGCGGGCGGGGTTCAGTCCCGTGACCCACGTGTCAGCAGCCGAGTTTCTTCGCCACTATAGACCACCGCAGCGGGGCGTGAAAACCTTTTGAGAATTACTTTATTGAACCTATTTGCGCAGCGCAAGAATACGAATAGGTACGACGTAACTACTCGTAGTCTCGCGCTGTGCAAATATGTTGATTTTCAATCACCAACTAGCCCAAGCATCTGTCTTAAGTAGTTACTTTAATGAGTGTACAGTAAAATACCACTTGAGATAACTATTCACCTATACAAACTTTTTGTAACCGCGGAAGCGCTATTGGGCGGGGTGCTAACATGTTTCAGTATAACAAAATTGGTACGAAGTGCATTTGCATTCCAGGCCTATATCCAGTTAGACCATCTAAGGCCTCTCACGTCATATTAATCATAAACTCTCTGAAAGACCAGGCACGTACGGACAGCGCTTCGTCTTTTGAGGACTTAGCCTCTGGTGACTATCACGTTCGGACATGCACTACTCTGTTCAAACGAAAAATTGTAGCGAGGGTCCCACCTCAAATAAAAGGAGAGAAAGAACTAGCCCTTGTCGAGGAAGCACAAACAATTTCAACAAATGACGCACTGGTAATATTGCAAAAAGTGAAGCCCTTTTTTTGCCTAACAAAGTGTGGTGTCAAAGAAGGCATATGGGTCAGTGCCTCAGTAATTAATTGAACACTGCAGTCCTATGTAGACTTGTGTAGGAAAGGATTACTAACATTTTGAAAACATGGGAATAAGCAGAAATTCACATTAAAATAAGCAACATTGCAAATAAAATGGCCCAGAATTCATTTCAACAAATGGTGTTTTCCGTAGCTCTTGATGCGACATAGCTATTTCACTTCAGCGAGCTTTCACTTTAACAAACTTTCTTCTGCTTTTCCTTCAAATTTGTTGAATTTAAGTTTTCCTGCATTGCATTTAGGCACGTAAAACCTCAATATTTTAAAATATTTTGCCAAATTATGTATGCGTAATCCTCTAAGCTGAAGGAACTTTAGCAAAAGCACAGCTGTGTCCGCTCAGCTGTGGTGCAAAGCCAAGAAAATGGAATTGTTTTTTTCATCAAGATATAATGTTGTAACGTTCAGGCAACTCCATTTTCTCCTGACTTCGCTGCCACTAAGTGGCAGTTTTCCGCATTTCTATGTTTTGTATATTGTTGCGGTGAATTCGCAAGGTATCCCTAGCGGGACCATCTCTTAGTGCGAAGCGCGAGCGGTGTGCACGAGCTGCGGACGCTGAGCCAGTTCAAGTATTTCTGTCTTTACCGGCTGCCTGCCTACTACTAAACGCTTTTGCAAAGTCTTGGAGGTGCTGGGTAGTTAACTCTAAAACTTTAAAGCCAGAAGCTGCCAGCTGAATCGACAATGTCTGATCAGACCACCGAGCAAGGCGCTGCCCCAGTAAAACTGAGCCCAGTATCCACTGGTCATCGCGCCTACCACTATGTGCTTACGGGAGCTCCCCTTCTTCAGCGGCACCGAGCACCAAGATGTGGTAGACGTGGTGCTGCTGTTTCAAAAGTTATGCGCCGTCAACAAGTGAGGCGACCCCTCGAAACCGCAGTATGTCCCATTTTACCTCAAAGATGTAGCCGGTGGTTTGGTGTACTCAAACCACCGTGCTGAATTTGCCAGTTCGGCTGCTTTTAGGACCATTCTTGCACCTATGTTTGATCGCCCCTGAGTGCACAAGCTTCGTGCCAAACATTGCCTACGCGGACATGCGCAAAGGCAGGGTGAAAGGGCGACAAGCTATATCGAAGATGTCATCGATCGATTTGTACCGGTGCTTGAATCAGAGATCACCGAACAAGACAAGATCAGGCATACCTTGAAAGGCATAGATGATATTGCCTTTCAAATGTTACTGGTGGAGCGCCCAAGTACCGTGTCCGAACTTGGGACCTTGTACCAGAGCTTGGAAGAAAATCGCGAGCAACGTAGATCAGTTCGGAGGTCAATGACAGCAGACGACTCCCTCACTGCCCTGACCGTCGGTGTTGACAACACCTTGCTAGCGCACACAAAAGAATATGTACGTGCAGAAGTTGCTCGATAGCTTTGATGTCTATCGTATCTGCCGACCACCGAAGTACCAACGAACTGCCTTACGCCGACCATGAGACAGGCTATGGAGAAGCAGGTTACCGAGGTGTTGCCACTGCCGACAACTGCCCTTTAGCCGACACCTGCAGCCGCGCCACTGACTTATGCGGCTACCACGGCAACGGCTCCGCGTCGTCTGCCATTGTATACCCCGTAACCTGTGCGACTGTCCACCGTGCCGTTTCCAGCTACACAGCAACCCTTCAGAAGTCTCTGGCACACTGCTGACAACTGGCTCATTTGCTACTTTTGCAGAATTCCCGGACATGTTCTACGTCTATGTCATCGGTGCTTCGCAGCAGACCCGGAGGCACTTAGTTATCCTGACTGCTCGTTTCGGCCTCCATACCGCGCGCCTCACTTGCCACTTGAGGTATACGAACGCGACGAGCGAACTGCTGCCGGTACTCGAACCTCCACTCCTCAACGTTCTTCATCCCGCCCACACTTCACAATGGAGTTTATTAACGACACCTGGTAGTAGGCAGACAGCCTCTACAGAAAAATACTCGAACAGGCTCAGCGTGCACAGCTTGCGCACACCACTCAAGCTTCGCACTGAGATGGTCTCTTCTGATTGCCTTGCGAATTCACCGCTGCAATATAACCAACCATGTATAAAAAAACCCATTGCAGCTATTTGAGTTTAACTCTGCCGCAAAAGCGTATATAAAAGTGTCATCTATCTAATATGACGTTTCGGTTACGTTCAGGTCCGACGCGCGATGGAAGCATCGACTGTGATGGGGCGCCTTGGAACCGTCGAGGAAGCAGCCCGTGCCATCGCTTTTCTGGCTTCGGACGATGCCTCCTTCATCACAGGCCACTCACTGCCCGTTGACGGCGGTAGTCTCCTAATCGGAACCCTAAATACAAATGATCTGGTGCCAGCTCACAAAATGTAAATGCCTCTCCAGTGAAATTCGCAGCTCAAGAGCAGCATTCTTTGCATTGCCTTCGTGTGCTGAGTAATAAAGTTTGCTCCCATTTATATACCTCTCGTATTATTATCATTCAATGCTGAAAAATTCAACTACAACTGTTAGCGAAGCTCACCAGTGGTAAAGGTGCAGCCCCCATAAGTGCGAAATGTCGAAGGAATTGGATGGCCACAACCACTGCATCGTGTGGTCGGAAGCGAGCTTAAACGGCATTTTATAACGCCAGCTACGCTTCCGTTCTTATCACGTAGGGCCGTTTTTCTGCATCACGTGTGTGCCATACAATTCCCTAAAACACTAAAATACGTAGTCGCTGCCTTTGAAGGCATCTCATATGGTGGGTTCAGAGTCGCAGCAGAGTCCGATATAAGGCACCACATGTGGCCACCACACAGGAAAATAAACTGGGTGAATCTTGTGTAGTGAAGCTTAGAACCGCCAAGCAACGAGTGGCTACAATTCGCGTGTGCAGCATACATCTTTCTAAAGGCGATTTCTGCCAGTGCATGAGGCTGCAATGATCGGGAAGTAGCACTAATGGCTCATTCAGACCTTTGCCCGTGCATGCTACCTTACTAATAACGCGTTTCTTTCGCAGAAACTAATATGCTGTACAACCCAATACTACCCCAAAGTTAGGGTTGCCTGCTTTCGAAATTCCACTTACCCACGCTAGCCCCAATTTTTTATAAAACGTTATGTATTCTTTTGGAAAAGGTATCAGCGTTTTTGCAATGCAAACATGATTTTGTTGTTAGAACTGCTGAATGTTTGCTGATTTTAGTGTAACATATTCAAATTTTGGTCCTCACACCTAGTTGCTAAAGAAATCTCAAAACAAACACACATTCATTTGTCAGATAACTAAGCAGGTTTTGTTTTGTCGCCAAGAATTACTTGGCTCATACCCACAAGGGGATCGGCCAAACTGTACCTTATAACGTAAATGTTGTCAAAGCATTATGTCCGACCTTCTCCATCTCTTCGTCTTTCGCGGGCACAAAGCACATTGTCCACTGCATGGCTGCTTCCAAAGCGATGAAGACATTGCCATTGAGAGTTTTACCCACTTGAGAAGGTGCTACCTGCATCCACGCGAGCTATCTTCACACAGTTCATAGAAAGTGCCTCTTCGCGGTCGTCAACAATGAGAGTAAATCACTCATCGCTCTTCAGGATATTAGAAGAACCATCATAAGGCGCTGGTAATGAAGTTCGAGTAACATCGTGACTGATTAAGACGCTGCCGGTATGAAGTAGTGATGGGCTCATTCATATAAACAGTCTTGTGATCACAACGAAGTGGTGGTGATACAGTAGCTATGCTAGTTTGCCAGTGGTTGGCTTTAGAAGTATGCCTTAGTCTATGAAGCGCAGAGCTCACCGGGTACGCGGAATGTCAAGCCGGAAACCTGCTTTGTGGATGAGAATTATGTAGCTTCTTCCGCCGCGGCGCGCAGACCTAGTTGGACAGAAACAGGCGCTCTGTTCATAGGATTGTTGAGTCTTGAGCATGCAGCGATGCCTTCAATTTAAGGTGGAAAGGTTCCACCATGCCATCCAAACTCAGGTGTTAAGGGCCACTCACCAGGTTTGACAATTTTGAGCTGACAAGCGCAACGCATGCATGAGGCGTTCACGATAACGTGTGCCAAAGTTTGCAACGCTACTTGCCACGAAAATGTGTCAAATTTCAAGATGAACGCTGATCCCCCTTCTTTTTGCGGGTGCGCGCCGGGATGATGAGTGCATGACGTTTGCGTATGAATGGCCCTACGTACACGGCAATTCAGTGACGTTGGTCCTCTACGGATACTATCGTGCTCTGACGTTTCCAACAGTGGCATGTGACATGGTGAAAGTTATTAAACACGACACGCGTAGTTTATGTATTTGGTGCTTGGTGACATTAATAAATCCCTAAATAAATGAGAAGTCATAAGGGAATGTGAGCATTATTTTTTTATTTTTCCCCGTGAATTTAACGATATGTGGGGCTAATGTGCCGGCGTTTCGCATGCGCTCCTATCCCCCCGGTCAGCGCATCGAGCAGACGATAGCCGCGGAACACTCCTATACGTTCGCGCACTCATTGTGTTAATCTATTCTACCGCGTTCAGGCCACCGTTTCCAAACCATCCCGCAGAAACAGGCAGTAGACTTCAAAACAACTCTGGTCAACAACAACAACAAAAAAGCGCTCGCGTGCACAGGGGTTGGACTTGTTCGGCCACGTCTTGCACACGTGAGCTCGTGGTCGGATGCCGGAGAGGGTAGGGAAGAGACTTGGCTTGCGAAGGCTACGCAGGGGAGCGTCAAGGGTTTCGAGCTTGCTTCCTCTCATCCTCGTTTCGCACCGCTTCAACAAAGCAGTTTTGTCCGCTCGTAATGAACCGAGTGAAAAATGTTTGTCGCAAAAAGTGCTTCATCGGACACTCAACAACTTCCACGGTCAAACTAAAGTTTGGTATGGGGCCTGGTGAATGCTTCCTGTATTCCACCAAGAAGGCTGGAAGGACCCAAAAGCCAAAAGAGAGAAGGTTCAAATGGTCACCCTCGGTCTGTCGATATGGTGGGTGTCAAACCATAATGAGAAATACGGGTTTCAACGAGGGCCTGAGCAACAGATCAGACAGTGATGTTGCTTAGTAACGTTGCATCAAGCCAGCGTTCGATACAAGTGAGTGCGTAACGCTAGTTCGCGAGCGGTGGTAGTGGACCCACAATAGGCACCGTTAATTCAAGTATCCAGTCTGACTGCAGCACCAGAATACATGGCCTAGTGGATAAAAAAGCAACCTTGACACAGCCTCAAGGAAAACAGAACGCGACGCGCGCGTTTCGCGCCCTGCATCCGTCGGCGAATTGTGGACGGAATACATGGGGGATGGGAGCACGCGTCCATTTTCTGATTGATTGATATGTGTGGTTTACGTCCCAAAACCACCATATGATTATGAGAGACGCCATAGTGGAGGGCTCCGAAAATTTCGACCACCTGGGGTTCTTTAACATGTCCTCAAATCTAAGCACACGGGCCTACAACATTTCCGCCTCCATCGGAAATGCAGTCGCCATTGCCAGTATTTGATCCCGCGACCTGCAGGTTAGCAGCCGAGTACCTTAGCCACTAGACTACCGCGGCGGGGCTGCGTCTATTTTCTGCTTGCCTCTCACGGCGAGTGTTGAAGACTTTTGAACGGAGCAGTGTGAGCAACGCAACTCCATCTAGTCGCTGTGCGGCGCCTATAGGCACCCAACAGTGAACCAGAGAGCACGACGAAGCTCTTTGGGCCGCCTCAGTATTGTTGATACCGACCACCAGGAATACTAAGAAAATGGAACGCTCACTGAACACAGCGACACGCTGAAGCGTCAGTGCCCTTTTTGACATGTTTTCATAGAACGCTTCCTGGGCGCTTATATAATCAGCCGTGACCACTTGCTCACAAATACAAAAGAAGATGACATGCACGTGCAAGTTCGGTTTTGCTGCGTCTACTCGCTAGGCTACGTATTGGAAGACTCGGCTTTGCTGCGCCTACTCGCTAGGCTGTGTGTTCTGGCGCTACCATCACATTTCGTAAACTGTATTGCCGGGTGCCTATATCGAAATGAAGACTTGCAGAGCGAACTGCTGCTGATGGAAGCACTCTTGGCGTGTGACATTGTGCAGAACTGGCCTATCTAGTGATGGAGATGGAAATGGCTTTGTAAATTCTTGTAGACTGGTAGCGAATTTGCCCACACTTGTAGGTGTGGGCTTATACAAATCGCAAAGGTGGTGCAGTTGTGCTGATGCCTCGTACCGACAGGTTCGTCATGGAGTCCAGAAGGCTATATTGGCATAAGGCAACATCCAAGTTGAAATTCCAGAAAACATTTGCCTCTACAGTCGGCTCGCGGACATCAGCGATGGTGAATAGCGATAAAAAGGGTCGCCATAGTCCGAGACGAAGGGTCACTGACTTTTGGCCACAAGCCCTAATAATAAAGCCGGGGACCGCATTGAGAAAACACGCCATGACGATGTCATCGTAAGTCGTCAATGGTAGACGGAAGCACACAACTTTCTGCGTAGAAACATGCGCCACCGTTATAGAAACACGCAGCACCCAATTTTGCTCTGCCTCATCGACTTACGTGAACGCATCACACACTGTTCCCTAAATTAAGATGCTTTATAGATGCAAGCTCATTATTCTAATATATTTTCGTACTTTTAGATTAAACTCTTTGCTGATTCGGAACCTGCAGTGCACGTTCTGTCGGGGCCAGAAACAAGGCGCGACATGCATTCACTTGAGCAGTGAGCATAGATGTTCGAAATTGGGTGGTATTTATGCTCTAAAATGTTTATTTATGTTGGGAAGTTAACGAATAATATTGCATGCAACCTGTATTTTGCGTTGCCTTGCATTTATTTTGCCACGACTTCTTGAGCATCGTTCACTGTAATGCATAATTACCCGAAAAAGCAGTAATGGAGCCCAATAGGTGCGCGATGAACGGATAGACCGTTGAGGAGCAACCACAGAGGGAAGCGTGCCGCGCGAAACCACTTACTCTCCAAACACGCTCCCAACGGATGAAACGCCCGGGTATTGCAGGCAGCGCGAAAAGCGTTGCCAAGGTGACCACGCCTCCCTCTCCTCCTCTGCTGGCTCAGCCTTTCCCCGTATTTAGCCCGCGACAGTTCGCGTTGCGTAGCACTCGGAGTGCTCGACCAAGGCCGCCTGGATTCGACGATCTAGGAATTACGACGTTGTGCTTGTGTGTACGCTTGGAAAAGCGTGGGCTGCTGCTTTTGCATTTCGCTGCACCCACGAAGTCTGGAGAAAGTCTCGAAACGTCACCACGCCGCGCTGTATATCTCTGGCTTCAAGATAGTCACGATGAACACACGACAGCAACAGTTGGGAAGGTCAATATGGCGGACGAGAAGACAACAGGCCTATCGGATATATACTTCAATCGGACTCGGGGCAGAGAACAGCGCTAGAGTCCAAGGCAAGTAGGTCACCATTCTTTAATCTACTCTACTTGTCAC